CCGGTGGCAGCCAGCCGCCATGTTTTAATGAACCTTTGTTTGGTTGCTTTATTGTCTGTTTTACTGAAAAAGCTGTTATCCCCTGGCACTTGAAGCAGTATGATGACGGGGAACGGACTCCTACCAAACAGATGTTCCTTGCCCCCCGTTGCCTTCCCATGACACTCAAGGAGAACAAAGCAAATGGCCAGAGTTCACAGCAGGCTGTAGGAGTAACTTACTGCGTTAAACTGGGAATCAAAGTAAAAACAGCTGAGGGGGAGTCTGGAAGACTGGGGGGTTGGAGAGCTTGAATTAAGGCGAGCCCAGGTAGCACGCGTGAGACCAGGCGTGCTGGGTCACAGGAGAACTGCACGAAAATAATGAAAAAACTTGTCACGGAGTTTGGAGTCCTTTTTCTGCTTAATTATCTGGGCTGATTTCACCTACCAGATACTGCTGGAATGGCTGTAAAACATACAGGTCCCTCCTACCACAAAATTATTTGAAAACAGGGTTTCTATAGAAAATAAATCGGAGGTGAAGCTTGCACCAAGTGTTAGTTGTACGGACACCATTTGGGCTTGCAAAGACCTCTTGGGGACGTTGGACATCTAGCTGCTTGATTTGTAGACACAAGTAAGGAGGCTTAGGAGGGGAGGTTTTGTTTGTTTTTTATTTTCCTTGGCAAAGGGAGCACGTCTGAAAGTTTGGCCTTTAAAGCAAATCCTCTGGGTCGCATTCGGCCTTTTTTTGGGTGTATCCTGTTTTTGGAACCATTCTTATCTTGATATGCCCGCTGTCTTGTTTTGATAACTGCACCTCTTCTTTCACGATAGACCAGCATTAATTACCTGCTTTTCTTTAATTCCCTCTCTGTACCCGTGGTCTGAAAAGAGAGCTGCTCTTAGGCAGAGGGCCCGCTGCGGATTGAAATAGTGCAACTGAAAAAGCTGCTGCCTGTAATGGGGGGGGGGGAAGGAAGGGGGGTGGTACGGTGACGTGCGATTGTCCGGAGACTGACACCGCTACCGCTTTTGTTCCCAGACTCTTGGAATGCCTGAAGACTTTTGGTGAAGTGCACTGAGCCGAGGTGACAGACTTGATATTTAAAAGAATCAAACCTTATCTTAAAAATGGAATTGGAGAATTAGCAACGCACAACTGCCCTCTTTCTTCTCTCTGCCTGTCTCCGCCGTTCGACCTACGTCTCAGGCAGCGATTAGGACAGGAAATCAAGCTGCCCGTCTTCCTCCTTCCCTTCCGACACTGCTAGCGTGCGACAGTCTCGTTGCTCCTGGGATCCCACAACCCCGAGAACAAACGCGTAGAGTGTAAAATAACACTAACTGCAGAAGCCATGAAGCAAAAGGAGACCCTTCGCGACTGCGCTGGTCACTGCCGACGGAGAGAGAAATTTGACAATTTGGTGATAAAAGAAAACTTTAGATAAAAGAGAAGAAAATATAATCTATTTAGAATTAATTTATAGCTGTATATATATTGTACTTTTAAACTATGCAGGGGTTGGATGATTAAATTATTTTGTTTTCTGCCTGGTTTGGTAAACAGGGAAGCGGGAAGTCTCTTCCCAGGGTGTCTCGCTCTGCAGCGCTTTCCTGCCTGACACACTAAAACAAGAATCACTTCGCAGTTACTGTATTTTGCTTTCTGGAGGACCGCGGCCTTCTGCGGCTTAGGATGTCGATACCTGCCTTTCGGGTTTTAATAAAAGAAATTCCAAATCTGTAGGGGGTAACAAAAGAAATCGGGGAGACTGTCCAGATTTGTGGTGTGGTTTTGCAGTGTTGGCAGAAGCTGCAGCGGGTCAGCTGAGCCCTGGCGTCGCACTCGGTGACGGGAAGGATTGTCCTGGATGGTTTTTGCTCATCAGTTGTTGGGTTTATTTGTGCACTTAACTTCTTTTTTTGCAGAGTCTGCTTTTATTTTGCCTCGTAATCAGCGTGCGGCATTCGTTCTGTAAAGAGGGCTTTCCATGAGCCGTCTCCCTTTGTTGGTGGTTTTTTTTGTGTGTCCTACACTTGGGGTTCCTCGCCCACCAGCGCTCCCGTTTGCAATGTGGCCACGGCCTTGACGCCCTCTCTCTAACGTTTCCTAGAGAAGACCTGTGAAATACTGCTAATTCATAAGAAACGGAGCTTTCTATTGCTTCTGTTGAAAGAAGTTTTGCCGGGGGAGATCGGAGAGTGCGCCTGATCTCTCCTCAGACCCCTCCTGAGCTCTGCAGCACGTCTCTCACTCGATCGCCGTCGGGCAGGACCAGCGTTAGGGCGGTGGGAGGGCACTCGAGGTTAGGAGACATCTCTTCAAAGCAAAACTGGCACGAGCGGAGCTACCTCCCGTGGAATAAACTGGATTTTTTTTTTTTGGTACTCTGCAGTTCATTTTTGTCTAAAGACATTTCCAGTAATGACCGTCCCCTGACACCCTCGGGGGAGTAAAAGCGCGGCGGTTCCCACGTGGGGTGGCAGGGGCTGGAAGGGGTGAGAGGTAAGGTGGTTTTATTTCTTTATTGTTAGGAATCCACATGCTCTGTCTTCAGCTATTTATTTATTTCGCAAAATATCAGCCCTCCCGTTAACTGCAAGCATTGTTATCCCACAGCCACCACAACTTGGACCTGATTTTAAGGGTTTTTTTTTCTTTTTTTTTTTTAAATGATTCCTCTACCTTTGGAAGGAATTGGGTGGAAGTATGGCACTTGGAAACAGCTCTTAATAGAGGCACAGGCTAACCGGCATGAAGAGATCACGGGGAGGGGGTTAAACAAAAATCGTGTTTGCAAAAGGTGCTGTGTGTCTTGCACAACGGCATTCCTCGCCCAAAGCCTGCCCGCCAAAACCTTTTGATTTTTTTTTTCCCCCCAAGTAGATCTCCATGGGTAATAACGAGCGAGAAGGCGTAGATCCTAACGGATGGTCACAGAGGCTGTATCTCTCGATTTAGAATTAATTATACAATTGTACATCTATAAATAAATGTTTATAACGTGAAAGGCTCCAGCTGTGTTGGTGTCCTGCGGATCCTTGCCCCAGCCAGCTCCGGTTTTACAGCTCCTTCACGCCGCCTTCATCACATCTGCACAAGCGCTCGGCAAATGAAATTTGGCGTCTTTGCCGTCCTGGCAAGCCCCAGCAGCTGAGAGCTCCAGCGCTGCAGGAGGCTGTGAGGGCCTCCCCGGCATGGGAGAGGGAAGGGTGGGGAGAAGATGGAGAGGAGGTGGTGCCCCCCGAGTTAGCCATGGCTCCCGGCAAGGTGACAGCAAACGGACGTCTTTGCTTCAAACTGGTTCCACTGGGATGCTCCCAGCAGGGTGCCTCGTGCTGGGGGACCACGCCTTCCTCCCTTCCCAGTGAAGCGCCACCGTCAGCCGGGTCCCCTGCATCCTCTGGCTGAGCTCTTTTGGGGGACGCTTTATTCTCATCCCAGAATGCCACCATCCTGGCAGCATCATCCTGGCGTTTTAAGGTGCCCTTTGGATGGGTCCTCATCTGGGGAGGGCAGCGGGCAGGAAGGCTGGGGCTGCCTTTGTCCTGGGTGGAAATGCTGGCTTGGACGTGCTTCCTGATGGTGGCGGCTTGGAAACTGCTGGCTGCTGGCCCAAAACCCTCGGAGTCAGATTTGGGGTCCGCACTTCCAAATGGGTCTCTTTTTTCCCACATCCCCCCTCCCCAGGGCACTAAAAGGCTTTTCCCGCAGCGCCTGGGGCAGGCTTGACCTTGTTGGTGCTCCCCTTCTCCTCCTCCTCCCCAGCCCCGCACACCAAAGGGCTGGAAGTTTTTTGGGGGGCTTTTTTCCCCCCTTTA